GCTCCTGCATCACAGACAATAGTGATAAAAATCAAATTGAATCATTTACAATACAGCTAAAAATAAAGAAAACTATTTTGACAAATAAAACTTTATAGTTAAAGCATGGTATTTAATTTGGCTGTGTGGTACATTTTCCCCCAGCAGAAATGTGAAAAGATGAGCTATCCAAGGTATAACATGTATCTAAGTATGTAGGTGCTAATGTCTAGGTAGTCCGCACATGCGAAGTCTAGAACAATGTGGAAAACAGGTCACTGACAAACAGGCAAGTGGGATCCTATCAACTGCAAAGGAAGTCTTTGTCCAGGTACTTAACAATGAGTGAAGTTTGGTTTCTGAATGTTCAAAAAATATTGAAAAAACAATTTAACTGGACAAACAATGCCTTACCCTGAAAAAAATGGCTTTAATGTTAGGATTTCCTCACTCTTGGCAGTGAGAGATGTGGTTGTTGAGGGTGTGCTAGGGTGATCAGCCATCCCAGTTGCTCAGGACTGAGGCATTTTCTCAGTTGTGGGGCTTTCAGTAGTCAAACCAAGGCAGTCTTGGGTAAACAGGGACATTTGGAAACCCTAGGTTGTGTTTTCACATCTCTCAGTTATACCTTATATAATACAAGCCAGGTACTGCACTCTGGATTTGAGTCCATAATCAGCTTCATTAGGCACTTGTATCAAGTTCATTTTTTGATGTTTCAGTTTCTTTAGCAAGTTAGTAATGATACCTATAAATCCTGACTGATTTTAGTAATGGCATAATTACCAGCTGTACAAAATACCCTATGCTTAATGTTTTGAAAGTTCAATTGAGTAAACAAATTCCTTCAAATTGGGCAATCGATGCTTTTTCTTACTTGCTAGTTCCCAAAAGACTCTTTTTTTCCCCCTACAAGAATGAGACTTTTAGGAAGTTATCTATGATTTTAAAAAGTCTCTTCTTGGGGTGCCTGGGTGGTTCAGTCGGTTGAGCGTCCGAGTTGGCTCAGGTCATGATCTCATGGTTCGTGGATTCGAGCCCCTTGTCAGGCTCTGTGCTTACTGTTCAGAGCCTGGAGCCTGCTTCAAATTATGTGTCTTCCTCTCTCTGCCTTTAGCCTGCTCATGCTGTTTCTCAAAAATAAATAAATGTTAAAAAAATTTCTTTAAAGCCTTTCTTAACTCGAATTAGTGATTTCTTTTTTTTTTTTTTAATGTATGCACTTTTCTTTTTTTCTTTTTTATTTATTTCTGAGAGAGAGAGACAGCATGAACAGGGGAGGGTCAGAGAGAGAGGGAGACACAGAATCTGAAACAGGCTCTAGGCTCTGAGCTAGCTGTCAGCACAGAGCCCAATGCAGGGCTCGAACCCATGAACCGTGAGATCATGACCTGAGCCGAAGTTGGATGCTTAACCGACTGAGCCACCCAGGCGCCCCTCGAATTAGCGATTTCTAAAGCCATTGCCTTTGAGCAGAGACTATGCAATTAAGTTGTAGAAAAGTAAAGTGACACATTGATGGGTAATAATATATTCCCCATTCATTTAACTTCTTTTTGGAGTAGATGAATATCTGTTGTCTTATAGGTAGATGATAGCTCATAGAGAAACAATTTCTAAAACTTTATTTATATATGACTCCACATACGTGGCAATAAAATAATATTGATGTAATTTTATGGCTGCCAAGGATGATGCTAGTCATTCTCAGGGCAAATGGCTACCCCAGCATCACCAATGGTTGACAAAAATTGTTTGAAAAAACTTGCTCAGTGTGAATTGATATTTCCATGTTATGTTGCTCTTTTAACCCCCTTGCTTTTGCACTAAATTGAAAGGTTCTAGACAAATACATGACAAGGAGTTAAAAAAAATCATATTTTCACTAAATGTTAAAACACAGCTGTTTTAATAATATAGGGGCACCTGGGTGGCTCAGTCGGTTGAGCATCTGACTTTAACTCAGGTCATGATCTCACGGTTCATGGGTTTAAGTCCCGCCTTGGGTTCTGTGCTGACAGCTCACAGCCTCAGACTGCTTCAGATACGTCTCCTTCTCTCTCTGCCCCTCCCCCGCTCATTCTCTCCCTCTCAAAAATAAATAAAACATTAAAAAATAAAAATATATTTACAAAACAGAATACTCTTAGAAATACCTACTGGTATTTAAATTACTGGGTGCCATCTGTGGCTGGTAATAGGATGTTCAAAGTTTATTGAGTTTAACACCAAAGTACAGTACAGATTTCAGTCATTAAATAAAAAATGTCCTCAGCTTTAGGTTATGTAATGATAAACTGTACCTGTTGAAAAATATATTTGGAAAAAAGAAATAATTTTAATACAAATATGACTCATCTGCAGGCATTCATTTATTCCGATCCAGCAACCATGGTAAATGTGTTTGAATTACTGGGCATAGTACGAAACATTTAAAAGGGAGTGGAGGTCTTTATTAAAACAGAAGGCTCCTGAAACTCCACAATGATGTCAGAAATATAGGTCCGTGGAGCACATTATTGTTTTAAGCGGAGGTCCCCGCACTTTCACATTGGTTATAAAACATTATTTTGTGCTGCTGGCCTGGACTGGGAATGTCATACATCTGCAGGCAATTAGAAGAAGCTGGACTGCATGTTTGATTAGCTCAATAATAAACGGGCAAAAGTGTGACTCGACTTATGTTAGTCAGATTCCCCAGACAGATTATCCTGTTGTTATCGTATGAAATAACCCCCTTTTATCAACAATTAAGTAAATCCACATTTATGGGCACTTTGCAAAATTGTGAGGTGGGAAGAAATCCAACTTAAGCCTTAAGTCATCCAGAAAACTTTTAACCCTGCTTTCAGTGATGCAGACCCCACTCACAAGTTTTAGAAATTGGTTAAATTATGCAGAACAGTTGAGCTGGGAATACTCTGTGTGCACACAATCAGTAAGTGTATGTTTTTAGCATCTATCATAAGCAAGGCATTTAACGGTTTTAGCTTATACCTAAAGAAAAAAAATTCTCATAGAAGCAAGAATTACACATGTTGTAATATGTGAAAAGTAACTTTGTAAGGTAATCTAAATCTTTTTCAGAAAAATTAAATAGGATTTAATTTTTATTATTCACATCTTATTATATAGTTTTTCCTATAACCAATGCATACTCTAAGTCGTGAATATACTTTATCCTAGAACTTCTTCATTTGGTTTCAGGCATTGTTCTTGCATTCAACCACAATCACTAATGATAGACTGTAAGCTACTATGGGAAATGACCATTCATTTATGTTTTTTTTCCTTCTAAGTACCATTTAAAATATACATCTGAAGCATGAAAAATAATTCAGTACATAAAAGTCAATACTTTAAAATTTTCAGCATAACTTTTCAGTTTCGTGAAAAATTCCACCAAACCTTCTAATTCAACTATATATTTAAATAACACAATTAAAAAGTTGATATCTTCAATAAACCCTAGACACTTTTTTTAATCAATATCCACTGAAATACATATACATAAAGTAAACTCCTTAGGTTATCTCCTTGACATAATCCTTAAATTAAATATTGGAATATCAAGCAGATGCTAAAGCATTCATCATCAATATTGGAATTCTGACTCATGACAGTAACACGAAACAGATGCTAATATGATGCGCCATCTGAAAAGTGACACCATCCCACCATGGGTTAGCTCTTGATGTGGGGTACTTAAAAATTTGAACACAAAATATAAAGTAATAAAAGTCAGAGTGTGATAGGTGTCCTTACTTTCAAATAAGCCATTTGAAATCTATCTCATACAGAAGATAAAACTCAACGCTAGGAAAGGAAAGGGAGCACCTCAGGGAGCCAGAAGATGCTCTTTCTCATAATGCAGCAGCTAGGTGATCCCGATTGAACCCCTCAGTGCTGAGGGAGGAAGGTGCTCTCTTCCTCACTCATGAGCAGGTAGAAGGTAAGAACTCCTGGACCCTTTCCATTGGCCAGGCACCGGTGGTGTAATATAGCATCTATTCTGTCAGTCCCTGGCAGTGAAAAAGGAGTCTGGGGCTCCTATGGCCCATCTCAGTAACAATCTCCACACCAGACAGATCTGAAAGGGTTTGCTCAGTAGGAAAAGGGGAACAAGATCTCTTAGCACAGTCCAGTTAGCTAATATCCTACACATCTTCAAAGACCAAGATTCTTATCATTTTGCTAGCATGAGTCTACAGCTGTTTCTAGAATAATACACAGTGATGTGTACTCTTTGTGAAAATAAACAGAAAAACCCAAGCAGATGGTGCCACGGTGCAAGTGATATAAGCGAAATGTACTCACATGACAACTTAAAAAGATATAATGTGAGTGGGGGAGATTCCCTCAAAGGTAACAAGAAACAGAAGTCCCATCTCTTTATTCCTCAGTGAGGAAAATAAGTTAGTGGCAGTTTCCATGAAAAGAAAGCTTGAGAACCCAAAGGACATTTATGGAGTAGCTTGACAGGCACAATTTCAAATTCCAAATGAATAACCTGACTGCTCCTGCTGACAGCTGTGACTCTGGCTCCACCACTGGGGTTTGAAGGCTAGCTCTGCTCTCACCACCTGTGTGACCCCTGGTTCTCAAACTTGGGTACAGGCTGGAACCATGTGGGAAGCTTTAAAAAAAATACTGATGCCTGGAACCCACCCCCCAGAGACTGTTAGTTAATTGAGCTGGGGTGTGGCTTGGATATTGGAGAAGTTCTGAAAGCTCCCAAGTGACTCTAAATATGTGTAGCTGAGGTTTAGAAGCCCTGACGACCTCTTTCAGCCACAGTTTCCTCATTTGTAAAATGATGACCATATAGGCAGCAACCACCTTCTGGGATTATTGCAATGATTAATTGTTATTATTAACGATTATTAATTATTAATAATGATTCATTACTGCAATGATTATTGGCTTGTGGGAAGCTCTCAGCAAACCTGAGCTGTTATCGTGCTCACCACGAGGTCCACTTGGAGCAGAACTTTCTCGTTAGCATAATCAGTCATGCTTACCTTGACACACGTTATGCTCACTCTGCTCATAGCCCGTCGCGCACTGGATCCGGTGGGAAGGGTTGGCGGGGATGCGCTGAGGGTCAGCTGGGTTCCGTCGGATGACAAAGTTATTTCGACCAGTCTGCACTTCAGGGCCTGCAACCGCAGCAGCACTGGCAATGAAGCCACCCCCCGGCATCACTCCACTGGCTGCCATGCCGCTGGCTGACACTCCCCCAGTGCCTGTACCTGATGTGGCGGCAGCATTTGCAGTGGCACCCACACCTTCTGCTGCCACTGGTGTTTCATGCTGAGGTTGTTCATTATTGACAATAATCTGGGCTGTTTTAGGAAGGCAGAGGTATCCTCCGTAGTGGTTGACACACTTCATTCCACCTTTGCAAGCGTCTGGGACAATGTCACATTCATCAATATCTGTGGTCAGCAATAAAAGAAATCAGGACTCTTCTCAGAGGGAAATCTGAACATGTAAACATATGCTCGTGCCTTTTTGGTATAATATAAACAGGGCAGGAAGAGTGACATGAGATAGAGACAGAAAGCTATGTTCAGATGGAGAGTCTTTGAAGTTGGCTCACCTTTGCACTGCTGTCTTACAGGATCCCACTCATATCCATCTGTGCATTGCTGTGAAGAAACATCAAAGATGGGGCCAGTAGACAGTTAATTTGTGTATCCAACTTTTTAAGAAGTCACTCTAAAAGCTTCATTCTTATGGCAACAATCCTTGCTCTAGAGTCCTAGATAGATCATGTGATAGGTAGTTTAACATTCTCTAGATTTTCTTTTTATTTCTTTCTTTTTTTCTTCAAGACAAACCCGTGCATTGGATTACTTCAGGGGTCCCTTCTCAATCACCAGCTGCCTCGCCTCTTCTGTTGCATTTGGTACAGTTGCCCAACACCATATTGGAATTCTTTTCTCTGTCATAATTCTCATCTTCTCTAATCTCTCTGCATGCTCTTTTTTTTTTAATTTATTTGCCCTCCTTCCACATTATAAATTTTACCAAAAGAAAGAAAAGAAAGAAAAGAAAAATTCAACCAAGTTCTTTTGTTCATCACTTGACTCTTCCCCTCCTCTCTCAGTTCTTTTAGAGTATTCCAGCACCTGGCTTTCCTTATTCTTGTTCAGCTGAGTCCCAAGCCTCTCATTCACACCCTAGACTGCCTCTTAGCTTCAGTCCCTACAGGTCCTCTCTAGTTCATACACTGAACACACCATCTACTCAGTACCTTCTCCTACTAGCCACCATCCTAATCCTTTGGGATGCAGAGGTCGTGAAGACCTTATCCCTGTCTTCAAGCAGCTCACAGATCAGAAGAAAGACAAGTAGACAAGCTGGAGCAGGAAGTCAGGTGCTGTGACACAAGCATGTATGTGGAAGGAGTGATGAACTCTATCCAGGGCTGTGTGTGGGCATGACAGAGTGGAGGAGAGGTTTTATGAGGGAGGCCACAAGTGAATTGGGCCTTATATGCTCTTTCCAGGGAAAATGAGGGAATTCTAGGATGAGGGACCATGTGAGCAAAGGTGTGACAACATTATTAAAGAGGGAAGGAGCTTCGAGTAGTCTGGGTGGGGGGATGAGGTTAGAGGGGCAGGCAGGAACTGAATTCTATCTTGAATGTCAATGAAACTCAAGCTTTATGATCAAGCTTAAGAGTCACCCAGGGTGCTTGTTAAAATGCAGACTCAAAGGATCTGATTCTGTAGGTCTGGGTAGGGGGCTTGGAATCTGAATTCCTAACAAGCATCCCAGGTGATCCTGTCACAGATTGCCTATAGGCCACTTCCTGAGAAACACTGCTGTTAAGTGATAAGAGGCCTCTGAAGAATTTAATTATTTTTTTTTTCCCTTGAGAATTTTTAAGCTCAGGAAAACATTTGACCAGATGCAGATTTGAGTGAGATGCTTCAGGAAAGATTGAGCAAAAGTACAGTGAACAAACAAATAAAGTTGAATTCTTTTAATAGAGCTGAGAGTTGCTTAGGCACACAACAGATGCTTGGCAAGTAAATTGCTGAATGGAGACAGAGTGCTCAGTTTAAATATTTTAATGATATCTGAAACTTCACAGGGTGAAAGCTAAACTCATTTTATCTCCTAAGCTAATTCTTTTTAGTTTCCCCAACCTGTCCAAGGTGCTACCACCTTTCTTAGGACCCAAGATTACAACCGTAATATCCACACTGACTTTTCCAATTATTCTCCTGCAAGCTCTGCTGACTTTGTGTCCATTTCTAGATCTACCACGCTGGTGAAAGCCTTCTTGGCTTCATGAGTAGGCAATGCTCTTGGCTGGTCTCCATATATCTCTGTGCCACACACAGCCTCCATGACAGCCATTCTTGCTGTCTTGGTTATGTTACTTCTACATTTAAGACCTCACACTGGCTTGTAGACCTCTCAACTCTGACTACTGCCATCTCAAGTTTCCCTCCACTACCCAAGCTCCAGCCCATCTAACCCTGTTATCTCCTCAACTTGTCTCGGTTGTTTTTATCTCTAGACTTTAATTATGTCACTTTCTCTGATTCAAGGGCCACGTCAACCTTTTTAGATTAATCTGAAGTCACTACTTCCTTCAAGGTTCAGCACAGAGCTCAACCTCTTTCAATATGCCAGTACCAACATTAATTGCTTCTTTGATTTTCTATTTCTTTAGCAACTTGTGTAGTCTATATAATGATAATATTTGTACTTGCTTAGGAACTTTGTAGTTTTCAACAGTATTTTCCTAGGGTAAATTCTCTAAGATGAAGGTCTGAATTTTCTTAGCAAACAAACTTAAATTCTTTTGCTAGTGGTAAGAATTGCTTATGCACATGGCAGTTACTTGGTGAGTAAATGGCTGAATGGACTATATATTTTTTTAATTTTTAATGTTTTATTTATTTCTGAGATAGAGAGAGAGACAGTGTGAGCAGGGGAGGGTCAGAGAGAGAGGGAGACACAGAATCTGAAACAGGTTCCAGGCTCTGAGCCGGCTGTCAGCACAGAGCCTGACATGGGGCTCGAACCCACGAACTGCGAGATCATGACCTGAGCCGAAGTTGGATGCTTAACTGACTGAGCCACTCAGGTGCCACGGAATGGACTTTAAAATGAAAGGGGGGTATCAGGCTGTCTTGTGGGTGTGAGCTCAATCTTCTACCTTTCAAGTTAGGCACAATGACAGTTCATTTGAATAATCTGTATGCTAACTAGAGAAAACACGCAGATTGCTTTAGATATTTAGTTCCAGTACATTTAATATGGATCTACTATTAAATAAGCCTGGACTGAGCTTAGCTTCTCCATTTGCTGGCTGTGTAGCCTTCAGCAAGTTAGATACTCTGTCTGATCTGCGGTTCTCCTATTGGTGAAAGGAAGATGATACCTCTTCTCTCATATTGAACCATGAAAATGAAAGGAGATGGTGTCTTCCAAGTGGGGTACTCAAAAAATAATTACATCTTATTCTTTAACCATGAATCACTAGGCATACACAGTTCAGGAGAGAATAGACCCAGTCTTAGAACAAAAAGGATGTTGTAATTGGAAAATCTGCTATAATAATAATAAACCCTAGTTAGTGGTCTAAAACTACAGTGTTTAATCCACAGGGAACTTTTCTGCTAAAGATGAATGTGATTTAGCTGATTAACCAAAGAGAAGGGGGTATAAGACAAGCAATTGTAGCAATAAAATATTTTATTAGATGAATATAAAAATGGGTAGTTAATTTCACTCTAGCTTCCTAAGAAGGTAGTAAGTTTAGCCTGAATAATAAAACATTCTCATTTGAAGATAAACAACACATGTATTCATTTCTTGTGCTTTATTTATCTTCAGCAGAGGAAGCAACTACATTTATCATTAAGTTAACAAAATATTTACGTGAAACCCTATTTGATTTATAGTTGATCTGAACAACAACAAGGAACATTTTCCAGATGAATACTAACATTCTAGGGATAATAGGATACCAAAAAGTGAGATAATGTTTATTATCAGTAATTGACATTAGCTCACTTTTAGGAGTTTTATTTTCAAAAATTTTTCACATTCTTTTGAGTAGGATTACTTAATTTTAAATTGGGAGCAAGTAGAAAAATATGTTTTTCATATTATGATCCAGGACAAATGCCACTTGTCTCACAACACAGGTTAAAAGCAGAAAACACAAAACAAAAGCAAACAAAAAAGAAAACGCAAAACAGAGGTGCACACAAACTCACCAGAAGTGAGGTTAAGTATGGCCTTCTGCTCTCACCACATTCATTCCTGACGGTGGGATGGCTCCGATGATGTTTTCAATATTTTATTACACATTGGTTATACCCATGTAATTAATTAATTAACCAAATATTACTTGGAAATAATCAGATGTACTTAACTAGAAAATGTAAAACCAAATTTCACACAACGCATTTTAAGACCACTTTAGCCCAATACTGCATCCTGGTAGCACATAAAGTTTACCTAAAGGGCATTTATATGAATTATCATTTATACTATAAATGAATATATAGCCTTTATAAATTCAATACAGGCCATTTACAAGAGAACACAAGTCACACACACAAATGAGGCACATGCTTTCTTTTGTGATGCTTGTTTTTATCTGCCTTATATAGGAATCCAGGCTTTCCAATTCCTTACCTCCATTAATTTACTGGTTGGGAAACATGTAGTTTCCTTGGGCTTTTGTTTTTAGAAGGGTCTCCTTCTTTGGTCTTGCAGAATCATTACATTTTGTTCTCTATCTCCACTGGTGATCTAAACGAACTTTTGGAGGAACCAGGGGAGATTTAAATAAATCTTAAATGTGAACTATACTAAAGCGGTGTTTAATTTATTACCCTCCACAGCCTACAGCCCACATATACTGGCAGGAGTGGATAAAGTCTCCCTTGTGTCACTGAATCCGCTGAACCGCACTTATCTCAAATTCCATCACCCCTTACCGTATACGTGATGGTTTCTTCGGTGTCCTGTGACTCGACCAGAGCCAGAGTCAGCATAGTTAGGAAAAGGGCTTTCAGCATTGTGAATCTCAAAGAAAACAGAGGACAAACCGGTGCTTAATATCCGTGGTGGGGGGTAGGGGGAAATAACAAAAGTTTAGCTGTGAAGTAACAAGTAAGGAAGGTCAGGAAGGAGAGGTTTAGGTTCCATTATACCCAATTTCCAATCTACTTTCTCATTCCCCCTCCCCCTCCTCAATCTTCCCGTGGCCAAACGAGGCACCAAAGACTGTAAAAACGGCTGCAGAATTACATTTCAAGTTACTCCATCCAGCTGCGCTTAACATATACAATGGATATTCAGCAGCATTTTATACTGTACCTACACAACAGGCTCCTTGAAGGGGGTGGAAGGGAAAGAAGAGAGGGTAATTAATTTCAAAGGAGATGGTGCGTGTGTGTGTGTGTGTGTGAGAGAGAGAGAGACAGAGAGACAGAGAGAGAGACAGAGACAAGAGACAGAGATAGAGAGGAGGTGGGGCAGCAAATCTCAGATTCCTTGAACGTTGAGGCTTTCTCTATATGCTCACCTCCAGCGAGTGAAGGTAGTTCCTTGCACAGCTCAGCAGAAATACCTGTGAATCAATATGAATTACCTTGGCTTCAAACTTTTTTTTTTTAACAAAACACCAAAACAAAACTCGAAGAGCAATCTCCTCCCCTAATAGAATACCTGCCCTTCAGAGTTCCTTGGCATATCCCCCAGCACAAACTAAGTGGCATTTTCACGTCAGTGAAATGCGCGCAGCTTTGTGTAAGAGACCCAGGTTGTGTGGAGGATCACCCCAAAGCTTCTGATTCTCTGCGCATTATCAGTCCCTTGGTTCCCTACATGCTACCTTCAGAATCCGGCTGCCTAGGGCCAGAACCGGGGGACCACACCGCAGCCCGTGATACTAGTTTCGGGGCAGCCAGCCCGGGGAGGTGAGGTCCCCTTCTCTTAACAGAAAGTTAACAGACGGCAGTCCTTGGGATCTGCTCAGCGCTCCACCTTCTAACTAGCTCCTGCGGAATCCAGGTGTGGCTTAAATCTCGTACATTAGCCCCCTGAAACTTTCAAAACCTCTTTTCTGGCCAAAGCCCAGTCGGCTGATTGTTGGCGCGCACACACTTGCCCATCCAAACAGATGTCACCCAGGTACTCGCACAAGCTGACAGATCGCATTCCGAGACAGCACACCTCCACCTTCCTCTCTGCTTGAGAGATCCTGCTCAGTCTGGGACAGTTCTCGGGTATCCCTGCACCCCTCAGGTCACCCCCACTTATTTCCCTGGGCGCCGCCCGGCAGGCACCGGGTGCGTCGGGGGCTCCTACCTGTTCGGCCGCGCTGCGCTCCGGGCCTGGGCAGCAGGGGGAGAGCGTAGGGGAGGGCAGCCCGGTGGGTCTGAACTGGCGAGGTCTGGCAGCGGCCGCGGAGGCAGGAGGAGGAGGAGGAGAAAGGGAGGGAAAGGGGGAGGGCGAAGGGGGGCGGAGGAGAGAGCGGAGGGAGGCGCAAGCGCTGAGCCCGGCGCTGCAGGCCCGGCGGGAGAGCGCGCTGCGCCTCTTGGTCTGCGCCCCCTCTTCCTAGGGCTCTCTCTGCCTCCGCGCCTGCCCTCTCCTGCCAGCCCCCACCCCAGTTTCCAGACACCCCGAACTCCAGGCCGAAGACGGCACGTTTGGCGTGTGAGGTCTAGGGTTTGAATCAGCCTTGGTGATGCTCCAGCCTTCCAGACAGTATCTTGTGCCCCTTAGAGGGGAAACATCTCGCTCAGAGAGCTGCTGAGGGTCCTGAGGAATTGCTTAATTTTTGTTTTTCAGTAAGTGACTATTAAGACAGTAAATTAACCCATTTATTGAACTGGTTCTTTTGCCTTTTCTTTCAAATACTTTTTAAAAAAAATTTGCTTGGGGGAGGGTCTTATTCCTCAAATGTAGAAAAAAGAGAATCCATGCATTCCACAAATATTGTTGACCTACTATGTGCCAGGGTTGGCAATGGGCCAGGTGTAACACACCCTAACAAAATTGTGCGGCCAGGTTTGTTTTTGGTCTCACAAACCTCTTTTTATGGCCCCCTTTTCTTATCCACTGCTTCTCTTCTCTGTACTGGTTCACTTGCAGGAGTCCCCAGGACTGGTCATTCAAAGTTGGGCATTTCACTTTCACCTTTCATACCAATGGAATTTCGGGAATCTAGAGAGCCAAAAAAAAAAAAAATTTCTTTTCTGGCTTCTTCAAATCATACCACACAGATTGCTGTTATCTCTGAAGGCTCCAACTCTACATTCAGATTAATAGTTTGCTTCCAAGGCAGTCATGTCTTCTAAGAAGCAAATGCCAAATACAACTTCATGAATGAGACAGTATACAAACTGAAGATACTCAGGACTTTGACACGGAACAGGAGATAGAGGGTGGGAAAGAGAGGATCTGCTCCCTTTTCTTCTGGCCACAGGGGAGAAGGCAGTAGACAGTGCCAAAGTGAGAGGCTCTTGAGTAGAGGCCTGTTTCCTTATATCCGGCACATGCAGTGGGTTGTACAGACCTTGCCAGATTGTTTGCAAGCCACACAACATTGGGCAAGATCAAAGGAGTTTCATGGCCCTGAACCTTACATAAGCATGTGGGGTTTCACTAATAGTACTGAAGATTTGTAGTATCAAATTCAAATAAGTTTGTTCTCCGAGTCATTAATGACCTCCAAACTTAAAAAAAAAATTCTCCTTTGTTTAGTAAAAAAGATCTGTCCAGACATTTTCTTCTGTTATTATTATTTTTTAAAAAGATTCTATCTATCCTCAGCCCTCTCCCCAGACAAAGTGAGTTGAACCTCCCAAATTTCTGTCTCCAGCCTGGAACTCTTCCTGCCTGAATATCCAACTGCTGACATTATTATTTTCGTCTCACTTAATGGGCATTTCAAACCAGGTCTTCTGGGTCTCTCTCTCTCTCCCAGCCTGCTCTATCCACCTGCTTTACCATCTCAATCAATACCAATTTCATCTTTCCAGTTTGCTCAGATCCAAGATCATTGGTCATCCCTGATTTCTCTTTTTCTCACACACCTTGCATTCAGTTCTTCAGAAATTTCTCTTGGCTCTGTCTTCAAAATATATCCAGAATCAGACCACTTTTCATCACTTCTTTTGTTAACATCTTGGTCTGAACATACATCATCTTCCACCTGGATTATTATGACATCCCCCTAATTGGTCTCTCTGTAGTTTTTTTTTTCTCAGCAGAAGTTCATATAAATGGATCCTAGAGTATGTACTCTTTTGTGTCTGGCTTCCTTCACTTAGCATGCTTTTGAGATGCATCCATAACTCCCTTCCTTTTTTATTGCTGCATAGTATTCTAGTGCGTGGCTATACCCTGATTTGCTTGTTCACTTATTGATAGATTTTGGATTGTTTATGAATAAAGCTGTCAGGGACACTCATACAGAAATTTTTATGTGGACATACGTTTTCCTTTCTTTTATGTAAGTATTTAGGAGAGGAAGTACTGGGTTATATGCTAAGGGTATGTTTAACTTTAAAAGGAAGTGCCGAACTTGTCCTGCTTCAAATTAATCAGAATTAATAGAAAGAAGTATTTCTTTTCCATAGTTACAGGAAAGGCCTTCAAAGTTCACAGTAGAGGGAAACAATGGAGCACTTTGCCTCAGTTGCCAGTGGCAGCTCTGTTACCTCCTAGAGGTAAGCCAACCTTTCCATGAGGTGGTACATGGTGTGGGTGGCCAACCATGAACAGAACCTAGATCCTTGAGGGATTCTTCAGAGGGCTGACTGATCTTAGGACCCATGATACTTTTAGAGATTCTCCACAATGTTTTATTTTCTTATGAAGTCAGAGGAAAAAACAAATATCATCCTGCCTTGATTAAATTTGTCTTCATTCTATTGCAGTCATGAAATATAATTTTTTTTTTTTTAATGGAGGAAGGGGCCCATAAAGGCAAAAGTGCCCAGGGACCATGAGAGTCGTAATGTGGCCCTGATTGTTGCGCTTCCAAATCAGCCAAATGTGGACTCTATTCTACCTCTGCCCTCCAGTTTTGTGAGGTCATATATTTTCTTATGATTCAAGCCAGTCTGAGTCAGGTGTTCAGTTACTTACAGCAGAAAATGTACTCACTTGCTGCATGACGAAGCGTCCTATCCTGGGAGCTCAGGCCCTTGTGATGTGCCCTGCTTGCGTCCTGAACTCCAGAGTGACAGCCACGAGGGTTTCTTGGGAGAGGCTGTTGGGAGAGATTCCCAGCCTTTCTGTCCTTGGGCAAGCTGAGTGTTCCAGCCACTTCTGCTTGGATCAGCTTCTGAGTTCCTCTTCACCACCCACTGTCATTTTTGTGCTTGTGTGTGATTTTTAAAGATTTAAGATTTGAATTCTCCCTTTAATTCAAGAAGGTAACTTTGCCTTCTCTTCATGTGATTTGAAAAGTAACTAGTGACTACCTTTATAAGGGAGACTTCTGCTTCCTAGTATACCAACTATTACACTATATGTATTGCAAAGAAAATTTTATATTGTACTTTCTTTAATATTTCCCTTTTTAAAAATTCTCAAGGACCCACAGGCTCTTTGATTAATTGAGTCATGCAATCAGCCAATCCTGTGGTTGAAACCTGATTAAGGATATTCACTTGTGGGGTACCTGGGTGGCTCAGTCCGTTAAGCATCTGACCCTTGGTTCTGGCTCAGGTCATGGTCTCATAGTTTGTGAGTTTGAGCACTGTATTGGGCTCTGTGCTGACAGTGCAGAGCCTGCTTGGGATTTTCTCTCTCTCTGTCTCTCTCTCTCTCTCCCTCTCTCTCTGCCCGTTCTCTGTTCATACTGTCTCTCTCTTTCTCTCTCTCAAAATAAATAAACTTTAAAAATTGAATATTCACTGGTGTGTGGGCAATTGGAGAGTGAAATCTATTAAAAATAATGAATTCAGGAGGAAGGTAGGAAAGACAAAACAATTACATAGGGATTAATAGGAGGGTGATCAATTCACTTCAGTTTGTCCAGGGCTTAGCCACTTTTTGCACTGAAAGTTCTGTGTCTGGGGAGAGTTTCCAGTTCTAGACAAATTTAAAGGTTTGTGTAGTGGAAAGAAAGTAGGACAAGGAGCCAGGACTTCCTGCCTGAACTTTGCTATGCTCTAGCTGGGTTACCATGGCATCACTTTCAATCAGTTCTACACAAATGTTGACCAGGGTAACAACATTTATACCTGCAGTTATTATATTATACTTTACCTGTGTCTATCACTTTGTTTTTGAGTGTTCCTTTTCTTCTGGTAATAATATCTTGATTTTCCCTTGAATACCAACTCTCTTATAGTGATAGGCCATAACAAGGCCTTCCCATACAATGCCACTAAGTATACTTAAAGGGAAAACTCATAGGCCCTAAAAATAAGGAGAAATGGCCCACTGCCAGTACAAGAATGTCAAGGCCCAGAACATGGTTATTAGGCCTGGTGATGTGGCAGAACTATTGTCTTCTTAAGTTATTTCCAAGACTGAAGATACAAAGAACACAGGCCCATAATTCCATGCTCCTCTGCCTGGAAAGAGCCCATTCTACAAAGACTATCAAGACTTCTAGGCTGTAGGCTTGCCTCTGTGAGCTACAAGGCAGGCAGGGCACTGGCACATCCTCCAGGAGCCCTTATTTTATTACTTCCTTTGCTGGCTGATTCTTTCTATCCTTGAATCCAGACACCATGATTTGGTCTAGAACATTTCCAGTCTATGTGATTTGCATGGAGCTTATGTGACCCAGGTTCTGCCAGTCATAACATCAAGTCTCCATCAAGTCTCCTATATCCACAGTGATTGAGTCGGAAATGATGGATACACCTTAGGATAACTCCCACTGAAGAGTCAGTGTGGCATAAGACAGGATTCCCGAGAGTCTGGGTTCAAGTCCTGACTGTGCCATTCACTGGTTGTATGAATCTGGGAAACTTCCTTAACCTCTTTGGGCCTCAGTTTCCTCATATGGAAAATGGGGATAATAATGATTCTTATCTTGTAGAATTTTTATGAGTATTAAATAAGAGAATGCACATAAAGCCCTTTGTACATTCCCTTATACATAGCAATTGCTGCTGTTGTTATTATTAATCACAGGGAAATATCTGTAATGGGTCTGTGCTGTGAACTTAGTAAATCAGATTCACCGTAAATAGGATAAAGGAAACTACTAAGGTTGAAAATTGCCTTCATATTTTTGTTTGTAACTATTTGTAGTTTAGGGGATATTTAGAAGAAGCAGGGTCTGTACCCTTAGTCCACTGCAGTTTTCTGACTGGGTCATGGAAATGTGTGATCCCATACTGAGCAACCTCCTGAGAGAACAGTATTTTTGGAATCAGTGCTTCTGAGATTCCTAATATTCTGAATTTTAAATGGCTTATAAAATTATACTT